AGAGTCCAGAGCACGGCTCACCCATACAAACGCGCCCAATTAAGCTTCGTTAAGATCAATTTAAATCCCGCATAAAATATCAAATAGTTTTCGTATTTTAGTTCAACTTCTGCCTCGGCTGTCGCTATTCGTTCTCGCTCTCTCAGCGCTCAGAAACAGAAAAAAACAACAAAACAAGAGACGGAAAGCCTCGACATATGAACATGACTACACTGAACAAATAAATGTAAAAAGTAAGAACTCGAACTATTCAAATCGTAAACAGAGTTGCCTATTTATAGGCCACTCCTTACGTGGTGAGATAATTATTTCATTTTTATTTAGATCAAATGTTCTTTATAATTACAAAAAAAAACGTACTACTTTTGGATCCAAATGCATTTATTTTCGACTGTACATTTCGAAATCTACTGCCCACGAGACAAAGTCTGCAAGCTATAACCGTAAACGTTCCCGGACGCGGACTTTCCCCTAGCCATTCCACGGCCTGACCTGACGAAGATGTATAGTTTTTTCCCCATTTTCGTTAATTCTTCATGCCACTTGGGGACCGCACTCGGTACTTACTGTTCTTGTTCTCCGGCATCATCCAAGCCCGCTTCTTCATGATACATCCCCACGTTGAAGGGACGGATATGAGGCGTTCTGACATCTGACCCGGCAATGATCACAAACGTTGACTCAAATTGCTTTATGCAGTTTTGCTTTTGGTTGCCTTATGAATTTGCCATCATTTACATGAGATTTTTTTTTGTCGCGACTGTACTTTAAGAGTGCAAAGATCAAGAATTATAAATGGAATTTGGGGTATTATCGTTTTTTTTAATGATCGTATTTTTTAAATCTACAATCCTACATTGTGTAGAATTTTGAAAATATATATTTTTCTCCACTGCTATGCAACCATCTTACTTCTAATAGTACAGATGCTAATACTAGTTTTTTTGTTTATCTCGACAAATAAGAGTTTATACCATTAACCCATTTTTTGTTAAATAGATTATATATATATTATATTTTTTAAAATGTATTTATCGTTCAATCATTTTTTAATTCAGATTAATTCCAAAGTGTTAGTACCTTTCAGCGAGTCCTCCGGCATCAACTCTACAACATACAAACTCTACAATGTTTTTTCCGCTCTTGTATTTCGTTAAACATGGCCGGGCAGCAGAACTTAAAAATTTTTCAACATTAGTGACTTACGCAGTTTATTATACCATAATTAGGCTAAAAGGGACAATTTTTTTTTAAACAAGTCCATTTATTTCCATTTCATATAAAAAACAATATTTTTAAATTTCGTATGTATTTACATACAGTATATATTTTTATTTTATTATTTTTTATATAGTTTCAAAAAAAAACTATGCAGAATTCCCGACTTAAAAATTACGCTTTCATTTTTATTCTTAAAGATCCTAAAGATCTTGGCAATGACAAGCAGGTGTATTAATTTATCAATTTAACTTAATTTTTCAACTTTTAAGCTAAACTTTGTCGGAAATTTAAGCATTAAAGGATACTGGGATAACTCAGTTAAATATCAGTATTATTTACAAATATTTTTTATTACGTGACCATTTTTAGTTTACTTAAAAAGTGTTTGTAATAAATTTTTAAGTACTTCAATAATTTGTTTAATTTGTGTTCAAATGGTTCATTTCCATGCATTTTATACACACCTTCAAAGCATTATACAACAAAATTTAATTTAAACGCTAATATATATTCTCATTACTGTGAAATCCCCAACTATCTTCTCGATCTCCCAACAACCCCGCCCCGCCTCAAGCACACACGCACAATTACCCCTAAGAGCTTAATGCAATCACAGAAAAGTGAGAGAGGACGCCAATAAATTAAAGCCAATCACAATCGGACTGTTGTGCTATCGCGTATCACAACTGAAGATGTCAACCGCTTGGCCGTGTAATTGGCTCTGGTTCTTGGGCCTGTCGATTCACAAAAAAAATCGCGACACTGGGAGCGCAGCAATTCAAATTAATTGCCGACAGTTGTGAGTTCCGTACGGCGAAGACGCCATTAACGCATCCAACTGAGCTGAAGCAATTTGCAAATCTACCTGCTATGTTATGCTACTGTAATCGATGCCCTTTAGAGAATCACAAAGTGTTTTCCATGCTTTTGAATTTGCCGCCACGAATAGGGAAGAGCTGCCAACCTGTGTAAAAGCAAGCACACTGAGCATACATTGTGAATGGAGGTACCTGAGGGCGCCAACGTTTGAGTTTCGGAAAATGATTGATTTGTGATAATAACTAAGGAATTTACTATTATTGAAACCAAAATGCAGATTTCACAATGGCTTGGATTTTGTGGGCCATTGTTCTTAACGTTTTTGGCTGTGCACCGACTTAATTGTTTGTAATTAAACAACATTTTCAAGGTCGATTACAGAAAATCGGATTGGGTGCGCTGACTGGACGGTGGTAAATCCCTGGCTACGCTACCAATTTGTTTTAATATAAATGCCGGCCGGCCGGCAATTTAATTTTCGTATCACATATATCGTATGTAGTATATGGCGGCGTCTGAAAATTGATTCCTGCTCATTATTTCATTAAGAATGTTCTGCCAGCTGGCGAGCAGAACAGAAGAGAGCGGGGCGTCTGTGCGCCTATCAAATTGTCTCCCGCGCTCCGTGATTTTTGCAGTTGCAGTTCGATTTGATTTCATGAATGGCCGGAATTGTATCAATTGAATGTTTTGGTCTTGTTATCGTAGCCTTTTGATCGTCGATAATTAAGCTGGGGGTGGGGTATGTGTGGTGTCTCTGCTCTCCGGCTAAATAGATTCGAATTATTGAAGCACCGCCTCTGGTTTAATGAACAAATCAAATTGACTAATGGTAATCCAATTGACTTGATTCGGCTTGTGGTTTCCCAGCATTTTAATTTTTTAAATCAAGTGCGAATTAATGCGAAGCAAGAGAACGAGAAACTGAAGTGGTAAAATGTAATGGAACCTTTTATTTGATCAGGCAAATCTTTAATTTATTTTCATATATATGTATATATATACATATATAAGGCAAACCATTCTCTTCCGACATCATCATTCACATATAAGATGATTATTTCGTTACCAAAAGCTAATTTAAAGCGAAGGTGTGAAGGGATGCTTATTTGCCAAACAAATAAAGCGTGTGATCGTGTTTTAATGAAAAATTGTTTGATGTAAAGAAGAAGGCGTACAAACGGCAGGACAAGTCGTATAGAGAAAATTTTTATCGCTAAATACCGGGTGTAGACAAATGTAGAAAAATAAATTCCAAAATGCGTACGCGCTGGAAGCCGTGGAGAGTTATGGAAGGAACCCTGGAGGGGATGCTAGGGAGGTACTGCCATGACATGCGGGCAAGTTTAAATTGATCTTAACGAAGCTTAATTGCTTGCGGTTGTATGAGTTGGTGCGTGTGAGCGCATTGTGTTTGTCTACGAGAGAGTGTGAGAGAGCGATCTACACTGGGCGAAATGTAGTATCTGCAAGTGCTGTTCCTCACACGAATGTCAAACAAGAAGAAAATCATAATTTGCAGTGTAATCTGAAATAAAGGAGTAAACACTTTCCAAAAGTGAATTTTCCAAATTCTAAAAAGAAATCCATTTTATTAATCTCTGGTTTCATCTTAAAAATTAAATGTTTTTCGTTAAAATAGTTAGTAAAAACATTTTGGTTTTGGTTTGTTTTGACTTCGTCTTAAACGATTAAGTTATTATACTTATATAAATTCAATAAAAGTCTAGTTCCTAATTTGGTGTAAAGTTGAGTAGAGAGTTGAATGAGTAAAAAAAAATTTTTATTAGTCGAAGTGTTTATTGTCTTATGGTTTATTATGAATAATAAACATTAAGTAACTAAGAAATGAACAGTTCAAATATGATCCGCTAAGCAATGATCAGAGACCGAGTCAGCAGTGAGTAATTTGATTCTTTTGAAAATATTAAAGAATTTCTTAATACTACTATATTTTTCGTCTCTCCTGTAACCCAAACACACTGCTGACATTCCACCTTTTCCAAACAGGATTATCCTGTTTTCAGGTTATATTGTTTGTAAATCGGTCAGAAGATTCAATCTACTTATGTCGATTTGAAAAAGAAAATTTAGAAAACTTAAAAATTCTTAAGGGGATCAAGCATTTAAAAATTGAGCATTTTATTGATTTTTTGTCATAAGCGAATTCATTTAAAGCTATAAAATTAATTTAAACTTGAGAATTCTTAAGGGGATCAAGCATTTAAAAATTGATCAATTTATTAATTTTTGTGACACAAGCGAATTAATTTAAAGCTATAAAACATATAAATATATATAAAACATATATATATGTAACACGAAAAACATTCTAATTACCCAAAATATTAAAAGTATAAATAACGTATAATGATGTATGCCTATTTATGTATGTATAAATAAAGAACTTAATAATGTTAATGTTAAATGAATTTTGTAAGTTTTTTCTCGATCCATTTACATTTCGAATTAACCCAATTGCAATAAGAAGTAGCCTTTTTTTGTATTACTACCTTATTTTAAAGGAGTGATGTTTTTAAACGTATAAATATTCAAACAAATACAATTCAGAATATTGCAACGCAATGATCGAGTTATTTACTTTGAGATAATTTTAATTTTAATTAAAAAAATAAACTTTGAATTTAAAATTACATATAACTGTAATTATTCAATTGGAAAATGGTAGTGTATTAAAACCACGAAGTGCTGATATCAGCTACCTTTCTTGATATTAGAGCCATAGCAGTGATTCATGTCATCGGTAGCTGGCAAAACTGCTCTGGTGGAGCTACCAAGCTTGATAAACATTTTTTTGAGATAAGATTTTGATAAGACGGGACTTTTTCTCAGGAAAATATGACTTATAAAGCCTTGTGTTTAATGAACTATTTTACACCCCCCTCCCGTTTGCTAAGCTCTAACGAATATCAATAGCACCTAGGAAAAACAATAAAAAATCCAAGTTTGTTGTTTATTTATTTCAGATTATCAACTGGTTGCATTGTTTATGCCACACGCAGACCGTAGATCAGTTACATCTTTGGACACGCCGACTTAAGACGAAAGATTTGCTAAGGGAAGGGTTTGCCAATACACGACAGGAGCTAATCAAGTACATAATTCGTTCACGGGATTAGTGGTTCAGATCAGCTGTTCCGAGCCCGTTTAGGCGTTGGCGAAGTCAATGCCCTTCTGGATGTTCTTCTTCAGCTCAGGGATGGCTGCCTCCAGCAATTTCTTCTCGTAGTCGTTAAGCTTGGGCAGGCCCAGATTTTCCTGCACTCCGTTCTTGCCCAGCACCAGGGGTGTGGAGAAGAAGGTAGCCTCCGTGACGGTGGACTGAACATAGGAGCACTCGATCACGTTCTTCTCACCGTTAAGACCCTTCAGTAGTGAGCCGGCGAAACGGGCGCCAGCATACGCCATGGAAAGAGTGGCTGAGCCAGCTCCGGCTTTGGCCTTTACCACCTCAGTACCGGCCTCCTGGATCCTCACGGTCAGCTTCTCAATGGTGTCCTGGTTGCCCTTGAACTGGGGCTGGCTCTGCGACAGCACAGGTAGAATGGTCACACCGGAGTGTCCACCAATAACGGGAATTTGCACGCTCTGGGGATCCACTCCCAAGGCATGACCGATAAAGGCGCGGGCACGCACAACATCCAGGGTGGAGACTCCGAAAAGACGCTTGGGATCGTAGACACCAGCCTAGAATTGTAAACGGATTTTATATAATTTCTTCTCCTAAAATTTGGCTTTCTTATTTAAAACCTTCTTCAGGATCTCGGCAGCAATGGGTACGCAGGTGTTCACCGGATTGGTGATGATGGCCACCAGGGCCTTGGGGCAGTTCTTGGCAATGGAGTTGGAGATGTCCTTGATGATGCCGGCGTTAACATTGAACAGATCATCGCGGGTCATGCCTGGCTTGCGGGGCACACCGGCGGGAATGACGACCACATCGGATCCTGTAAGCACATATACGTAAATGTATTTAAGATTAATTTCTTCGGTGGTACTTTGATCTTTGGCCTACGCCCAATCTCTGCACTGATAAGTAGTAGCCGCTTCGTTATAAATACCAATAACATTTCTACGCTGCTATCTCAGTCTTCATATATATGAGTGTACATATATATAGTCTTTGCAACTTATCTTATCGAAGCATACAAATTTCTCTTATGCAAATCACTTAAATGGAAATTTTTAAATTGTCAAAACTGTTTTTACGATCAGTAGCTTTTTTCTTATTTTAATACTTGGATAGTTCGGCAGAGGAAAAGCATAATACATTGTGTGCCCACAAAGAATCATGTTGAAAGAATATTAAATATATTAATAACTTAATAGAAAAAAAAACAAGAAAGGAAAATATATACCCTTGCAGATAGAACTTCTATGACTAGGAGAATCCATACAATATAAATTATATATATTTAGGTTAAAAAACAATGCAGTAATACCTGCTTTCATTTCATTCACCTATACATATTATATTTGCAGTTTTACATTCACAGATTTGCATTTTTCCTCTACATCAAACGATCGTTTGTATGGCCCTATATGATATAGTCGTCCGATTTTCATGAAATTTGACACAAAATTTAAGACTAATATAAAATGGATATACCTAAAATTTGATGAAATTCTGTTGAAAACTGAAAATGTTATAATTTTTTTGTACAAATTTTCCGATCATTCCTATGGCAGCTATATGATATAGTCGTCCGATCTGGCCCGTTCCGACACATATACGAGTGAGAGTATATAGAAGGCTAACTACAGAGTTTCATTCAGATAGCTTCAAAACTGAGAGACTAGTTTGCGTAGAAACGGTCAGACGGACAGACGGACAGAAGGACAGACGGACATGGCTAGATCGACTCGGCTGTTGATTCTGATCAAGAATATATATACTTTATATGGTCGGAGGTGCCTCCTTCACTGCGTTGCAAACATCTGACTGAAATTATAATACCCTGCAAGGGTATAAAGATTTCGTTATTTAACTTGTTTAACCGACAAGCGTTTTTGGTTGGTCCCTTTATTCAAGTGTTTTACTTTATTCTTAAAAAAAAAAGGAAAATACAATAAAGCCTAACCATATATCACAAATAAGCATACATAACCTTGAATAAGCATAGATATATCTGAGATTTAATATTAAAAACATTTTGCGTACCACAACAAATACTTCAAATTCTTGCAAAATTTTATAATTTAACATAGACAATTTCATCATTTTACCTAGGAAAAATTAAAACCTGAAGCTATTAAATAGCAAGTAAGAATGCTTTAAATGTGGTAAAATAAAAGAATATACATATATTGTTTAATAACTCCCACAATCATCAAATCGCTTTTTATTTCAATCACTAATACGGAGATGTTAATAAAGACGCATGGACAGGCGGACAAGACAGAATTGGGCCTGGATACATTTTTAAAGTTGTTAAATATACTTAATTAAGACAGCTTTTATGTTATGTGAGCAGACACCATAGGTTTTAATATTGATTATATGTATGTATATGTATTAATATTGCAGTACACAATGTCGACACTTTTTTTTAAAGTGTAATAATAGGGAAATGATCTTCCCTTACGACCCCTTATTGCTTTTAAATTTTTCCACTGCCTACAATGTACATAACCTCACTCGCTTCGCTGGCCCCTGCCCTCTACTCACCCTTCAGGGAATCGCCCAGCTGGTCGGCACCAATGAATCCGGCGGTCTTGCTCTTGGTATCGATGTGTGACAGATCGGCGGCCACACCGGGCGTATGCACAATATCGTACAGGGCCAGGTCGGTGACCAGGGGATTCTGCTTGAGCAGCAGTGACAGGGGCTGGCCAATGCCTCCAGCGGCTCCGCAGACGGTCACCTTGTAATTGTTCTGCAGCAAAGAATAAGGAAAAACAAGATTATGCCAGGTATTCCTTAGTTAGGTAATTAGGTAGCATTATCTTTTCTCGATTGCAATGCATCTGACAGTAAAGATGCAATTTCCGCCTGTTACGTAAACAGTTGCAGTTGCTGAAGTGTGAGGCCAATTCTGACCGGGTCCCTCAGAGTCTCACCTGCTGGCTGAGCGAGAAGTTGCGCACTCCCTGCAGAGCCAATTGCTTCGTCACTTGCTTCAGCATTTTTGCAAAGTTATTTGGTACAAAAAAAGTTAGTTAACAATTAAACAAGCAGCGCTGCCAGCCAAATCCCGAAAGCCAATGGTACAGATTTGCGAATCTCTATTGTTGTTGTTTCCATTATCGCAGCGGGGGTGAACTTGGGACTGCCAACTGACACGAAAGCTTTTATTCAAGCGAGAGCTTTTCATCGTTTTTCATATTTTCTCTCCAAGGATTGGTAGTAAAATCAAGCAGACTGCATTTTCTGATACATTCATATAAGTTCAACGATTTAGCCGATTTGTACTTTTACCGTTAAAACTACTATTATTTAAGTCTACACTGTTCCCGCTCTCCCCAGTACAGGACTGCCAACTGTTTGGGTGCAGAAACCCAAGGTTGGCAGCACTGGTTAGGCATCCACCAATGCAGCAACAAAATAATGTTGATATTTGTAATTCGTAAAGCATGAAACTTCGGTGGCAAATCCTTAGGAAGAGAAGCTTTTGAATGTAAGTTTTGCCAGTATTTTTCGATATATCCTTCAGTATCATGTCCACCATTCCAGTTTATTTTCCCGCAAGATGTCATCTCTTCGACTGAGTCAAAAGCAACGAGACCATTTAACTCTTCTCCAAAGACCGGCCAACGATGTTGTGGAGCTGTGCAAGTCAGCCTTCGATTACCTGATAAATGGACCCAATCTCGGTCGCTACGAAGCAATGGCCAAAAAGTATTCTGAATCCAGCAGCCCGGAGGAAGTGCAGCGGACTGTAGAGGCGCTGATATCGCTACTGATCAGCGTGACCACCCGGGTCAGTGTTAGCAGTTCCGCCCATATGCAGTCGGTCCTGCGTCTGACATTTCCCGAACTCTCCAGCGATGTGCTGGAGGTCCTCGAACAGTTCGTTACGAGCAAGCGGACCTTTGTGGAGGGATCGATCAAGTCGGCCAACATACGTGCTTTTCGCCTGATCAACCTGAACTGGCGCCTGGAGGTGCGCACCGCCTCGCGTAGTCTGCTGGATCAGTGCACCGTTTGCATCGTCATGAAACTCTATCTGCATACCGAACCGAAGAACGAGAATAGAGAGCTGCTTTCAGTGGACTTAAGTAAGCGAAGCGAACAGGAGCTGGCGACCATGGAGGAGGACGAGAGGAGGCATCGAAAGGATGTGCTGGTGCAAACGGATGTCAGTAGCTTGGTGCACATGATCAAAGCGCTGGAGGACGCTCTGGCAGAGTCCAAGACGCGACGTGTCCGCAACATCGTCGACGCCATTCACTGATGACTCCAGAAATCGCCTAGTAATTACGCTACTTTAATCTGGACCAATTTATTAAAACTAAAGCTAACTATTAATGAAATGCAATCATTGCGAGGCTGCAAGAGCTTCGGCAGCGGCTGCCTTCAGCGCTACTTTCTTCCGCTGCCGATTCTCCTTCTTCTCCTCGGGGGTCTTTCGCAGCGCCTTGACGCGTCTCGTCTGAATCGATCCTGTCTGCTGCTTGCCCAGATGTACGCGTCCCTTGGTGTTGCCCAAGGCATCGGTGCTAATGTTCTTCTTCTTACCGGCCTTCAGCTGCTTAGGCTGTTTGCGCGCCTGTTTGTACAGATCCTCGCTGGCGATCTTTGTCCGCCTTATTGCAAAGTCGGCTGAAGGTCCGATCTCCTCCAACTCGATGCGAGGCGTCCGCTGTCCCGATTTCTTCAGCAGGATCCTGTATGAGCGCATTAGGATGTTCATGTCTTCGGTTACCGTGAAGCTGAGGACGTGCTCGATACCCTGTAGGCGAATAGAGTCTACCTTCTCCCGCTGGAAGGTGTCGATGAAGAGGTTGCGAAGTCGCCGCAGCTCCTCTGTCTGCGACCACTGGGGTCCGTTGAAGACAAGGCACGGCTTGACGCAGGTGCCAATCTTCTCGTTTTTGAACTCTGAAATGGCTTGATACCTCTTGATGCCCAACTCGAACATGTCTAGCACTTCGTTCTCGAAAATCCTGCCTAAGATGATGTTGTCAGGACGCTTCTTCGATGTGGATCCAAAAGAAAACAGCGACGCATCGTTCTTCATAGTCAAGCTAGATAGAGAAAGCAGTTAGGCTACTTATTTCGAAATCAAACAAGTTTACAGTGTCTATACTCACAACTCCAAGGACGAAGGATCGTCAAAGGGTGTTATATCGTTCTTTCGGTTCAGTACTTTTATCAGGGGCTTCTTTAGCGCTTGAAGATCCTTCATACACAGCTTGACAATGCCGCCGCATTTACGTCCGTCAAGAAAGAGCATTGTCCGGGCAGATTCAATTAACTGCGGCTCCCTAGCCAGCAGCACTTTCTTTCCCTTGCGAGTTTTTGGTTTCCTGGAAGCGTAGTAGGCTGCATTTAAATGCTTATTAATAGCAGAATTTTGTTGCTTACCTGATGCGTAAAAGCGACATATTTCAATGTTTTGTTTAATAAAAACCCAAAATAATTTAAAAAAGTTGGATGCACGTGTAATAGTGCTGGCACAACATCAGATTTCGTTTTCAAAACATCGATTTTTTTTTTTTGCACTATCGATGTTTTGAAATTTTTGTTTGTTATCTTATACATGTAGATAACAATGTTACACGTTTACACATTCATGGGGTAGAATGCTTTCTTTTGGGATAGATTTCTCATTTTGAAATGTTTTTATTACTTCTAGGGTTAAAAAACGTTTTTTTTTTATTCATTTAATTTAGTTTTGTACTTCATTATACTAAGATACAGAAATATACTTTTTTGTTTTGGCCTTTAATGATAAAAATGGTATATGATTTTTTACGTTTCAAGCAATTTGTGTATATTTTAATATTAAGATACTTAATAAAAATCAAATGAAATGCGATACTTTGTTAATACAAATATTAATAAAATAATACAAAATTATTTGTTGTTTTTATTAATTTTTTTACTCTTGAATATTTTTATTAATTAGAACAAACATTTAATTAAACTTATAATTAAACATTACTCATAATAATAATAGTAATTTTTTAATATAATATATATAAAATATTTGGATATTTTTGCCAGTTCTAACGAGTAAATTTGCCTGTGTGTAGTTAAACCGAGGTGTGTGGAAATTTAGCTTATTTAACGCTAAATCTTGCATAACTGCCAGAGCTACCTACTCGACCATTCAGCGCTGCTCGACTTTCCGGACTTTAGAGCGGGACGTTTAGTGTGCCCAGGTGCCATGAAGCGGGAAATATTTTAATATTTGTCATTCACCCCCTTCTAAGTAATTGTTATTCACAGCGAATATCAGTTACATATTCACAATTTCACTTGTAAATATACCTTTTGAAATGTTGTAAATATGCTGCGCAACGGCCAAAATCAAGCGCACCTGCTGGCACGATGCCTGGGACAAATGGCGCGCGGTATGGCCGCATTAAAAAAAGGCACCGTCAATCAGGAAAAGGCTAAGTCTAAGCTACCGAAACCCGCGGCCGTAGAGGTGCCGGTGGAAGAACCATTGAATGCTAATTATTTGGCCAAAACTTTGGGTGCGTTTATTGCTTACAATATAATTAAACAGTTACCAAAATTAAATATTAGGTAGCAATTACCGTGCGTGGGTGGCTGCTTTGGAGAAGCATCCCGAACTGAAGACAGTAAAACGAAAGGATCTGCTCAACTCGTACGAAACTTTAAAATCCCTGGCCTATAGCGTGGACGACATCATAACAAAGCCCATGATCATCTACTATGGAGCCACCACTTTAGCTAATCGCCATAGTGTCCTCGAGGAGTGCGGCTTCCAGAATATCACCATCCCAACGCTGTCGAAATACGTGACGGTGGTCAACAAATCCATAGAAATCCTCAAGGCGCACACATACATCCCCTACGATGTAAAAGTGGCAGAACGCCTGGCCAGTTACTTCATCGGCATCCAGTTGCCGGTAGACATGAGGGATCTAGACAACGAAAACCTTACGTTAAAGAGTCTGAGGCAATCTCTGCTGAACGCCTACCTACGCGAACGACTCCAGATGGACGACGGTGATCTACAAAAGCTGTGGCGCGTCTACTCCCGCATACGACACAAGAGCTTTCGTGCCGTGCAGGACACCGTGGAATTTCTAACCACGGAGCTAAAGTTCACAGCCGAGCGGCTGAGAAAAAATAGTTTCCTGCTTTACGCGGACGCGGATAATGTTCGTCGTATCCTGAAGGAGATCCCTACGATTGATTCGCAAGATATCCGCGATATTGGTTTTCGGCGGCCAAAAATTCTAATGTCTACGTGCGATAGCTTAAGACAGACTCTGCAGCACGTCCATACATTTGGGATCGGCGAGGCTGCCGTTTTGCGTTGTCTGGAGGTGCTGACCCTGGGACCCGATACGGTGTTAGAGCGCCTAAGAGATCTCCAGGAAATCGAGGAGTTCCAAGTGCTTGGCACCAATCCGCGAGTACTGCGCCTGGTACACTACCAAAACAAAGCGCGACTTCGACTAGATTACCTCAGTCAGCTGAAGGTGCGCTGCGCTTCTCTCCACATCCTCTCCTGCGGCTCCGAGGCCTTTGCCAAGTGAGTATATAAAATCAAATTTTCAAAGTCTCAAAAACGTAGTTTTTCTTTAAAGATTTGCACGAGATGGATCGGATCGCACAAAGGGTCGCGATATAGTTGTTTATTTGGGAAACATTCTGTCCAAAGATGAGCAAGTGTTACGCAACCTGCTCTCCCGCCATCCTAACTGGTGCCACACACCGCTGCTGCATGTTAAACAGTGTCTGGAGTTCTTGCGCAGCAAGAAGTTTAAACTGCAGGAAATCTTTGCCAACATCCACCTGCTCCTGTATCCTATGTGAGAATTAGAGAAAATTCAACTACAGAGTGCATAAAATTCATCTCTTTTATATTCAGAAAACGCATTGAGGAGAAGATGTATCTACTACAGGCACCAGATGCTCAGGAGGAACTGCAGCTGCCCGTGTCGGGCTTTCATGAGCTGAGCAACAACGAGATTCTTACACTTATTCTTTACCTTATCGAATCGGAGTTCCACTTCACTGGTGACGGAATCTGGACTGAACAGCATTCGCATCACGTAGAGAATTTTAACAATTTGCTGCCCGACTTTCCCGAAAGTCTCAATAAGGTTTATAAGTACGGCGTTAAGCCGGCAGAGAAGTTGGTTATGCAGCATTTGTAGAACAAGTGAAAGGAATTGTAAATAAAAAGTTTTTTATTGAAATTAGCATCATAAATGACGATATTTCTTAGTATTTTCATGGTTACCGGTTCTTAAGACGCTTTATTCTTAGTTTCTGCAATCTGAAACCCTTCTTGCTTCGAAATCGCATCCTCCGGTGCTACTTTACACCAATCCATGTACAATTCCTGGTCATGAACAACTTTGATGGACTTGTATTTAAGGTTGACCTCGCCGGTTTTCTTCAAAACTTCCTGATAGGCGGCTGTCAGGGGCTGTTGCACTGCCTCCTTATAGACATAGTTCTCATCCTGTTTAATGAAGTACGGTAATAATTAGGAAACTTGCATCGCGCTAGAACATCGAATCTTACTAAATCGTAGGTGCGATCAGAGTCTAGATCACCATTATAAGCAACAAAGGGTACGTGGACGATGGGCGGGTCTGCGTTCAATCTCGCCACCCACGACGACTTAGGGTGATCGTGCCATTCGGAGGTCAAATTGCATGGCTTGTAGCCTTCGGGCAAACAAAATTGCCTTGCCACAACGAACGCCTCGATGCTGGAATTCCGGGACGCGGATGGTTTGAAAACGCACACATCCTTGAAGAAACGTTTTAGCTGGGTGTAAACTCGGCTGATTTTATCCGCTCGATAAATCTTTGCCACGAAGGAGCCGCCCGTTTCCAGAACATAAGTGGCAATGCTCAAGGCGGAGAGGATCAGCTCACTTTGGACATAGCAATCAAACTCATGCATTCCCGTGGAATCCGGAGCTCCATCGCTGACCACAATCTGCGCCTTTTCTCCCGCAAAAAACTCGATGATGGTCTCCGCTGTCGATTCCTTGCTTATGTCCGCCCGCAGCTGTGTAACGCCCTCGATAGGCGCCATGCCCTGCAGATCAACAGCTATGATTTTCACATTTTGCCTATCACTCGGCTCAAGGGGTTCGTAGATGCGCTTGGCCAGAACTTGTGACCAGCTGCCAGGAGCGGCGCAAAGATCAACGGCTCGTGTCAGACCTAAAATTGGCAAGCTATTTAGTTTGAGGAACATGCAGTTGGTGGAAAGCAGTACCTTCCAAAAGGCAGAACGTCTCATCAGCCTGCAAAAGCTTGAAGGCACTCCGCGCGCGCCATCCCTGCTCCTTGGCCAGCCTATAGAATATGTCACGTTTGTCCTTGGAAGTCCTACCCATTGGAAACCCTGACTTTATCAGCTGTGAAATCAAAACAATCCATTCACAAAAGTGCTGAATTAATTACAGTATAACTTTTAATAGCCCATTCACACAAGGCACCACTAAAGTAGAAATTCGTTTTCTCAAAATCTCATCGTTCGTACAAATTTCTATTTTTACGAATCCCAGAATCGGATTTCATCTTCCTTTAATTATGATTTTTTTTTTTTTTTCATCTTTTAGACTAAGTTATTGTCTATCAAAAAAAGGAAAAAAACAGCGAAACAACCTATTTTTACCAGGCTGCAGAAACACTCAAACATCGCAAAAGCGTCATTTTCTTCGTTAGAGCAGAGTAAGCAGAGCGACCAAAAATCGTTTTAAAACAAGAGGCAAATGGCTGAAAACGACTATTCGTGAGCGCACGGAAATAATTGAATTCCTCCAAATTAAAATAAAAGAAAAGCTTCCTTTTAATACTCCCCCTGTATTTCGTGAGTCCCGTGCGTTTTCAAATGCCGCGTAGTGAACTATATTCGATATATTAATCGATATATACGTTTTACTTCCATCCCTAGCCCGCAGGTTATAAGAAATTCCTGTTTGTTGAGCAAAACGAGAAAAAAATTGTGGTTCTTGCTATGATAACAGGAAAACTAACACCTCCCAATTAGCCCCATCAACAGACAGTAAGAAGGTAAAGGAAGAGCTGGAGAAGCCCTAATTATGGCCCAATTAAAAAAGCTCTACTTGAGCTCCGACATCGAAGGTCTGGAGAAGATGTCAATCATTCCCGATTGTCGCAACAAGAGCATGAAAATGTATGTTTTAATTTGTGTACTCTTGTGCTATTGCATTTGCTTTGACTTGCTTGTGCTTATTACAGCCTGCTCAACACCGCCCGCAAACTGTACATGAATGCCGAAGAAAAACGCCTGGATGGCGACGAGGAGCAGGCCTACATCGCCTACATGAAGTACTTCAACATGCTGCACGCTATTCACAACAAACCGGACTATGCTAACCACAAGACGACAGTGCGCCAGATGCTGGGCGATACCGCGTCGAATCGCCGCATCATGGACTCGCTAGAGCTGATAACCCAGTCTCTGTCGCTTCGCTATGAGCAGTTGCATAGCTCAGCGGCGGAACCAATTGCTGCTTCAATCGTCGCCAATGGGCAGGAGCCAGAAAGATCGACAGGAGAATTGCGTTCAATCTCGCCACCCACGACGACTTAGGGTGATCGTGCCATTCGGAGGTCAAATTGCATGGCTTGTAGCCTTCGGGCAAACAAAATTGCCTTGCCACAACGAACGCCTCGATGCTGGAATTCCGGGACGCGGATGGTTTGAAAACGCACACATCCTTGAAGAAACGTTTTAGCTGGGTGTAAACTCGGCTGATTTTATCCGCTCGATAAATCTTTGCCACGAAGGAGCCGCCCGTTTCCAGAACATAAGTGGCAATGCTCAAGGCGGAGAGGATCAGCTCACTTTGGACATAGCAATCAAACTCATGCATTCCCGTGGAATCCGGAGCTCCATCGCTGACCACAATCTGCGCCTTTTCTCCCGCAAAAAACTCGATGATGGTCTCCGCTGTCGATTCCTTGCTTATGTCCGCCCGCAGCTGTGTAACGCCCTCGATAGGCGCCATGCCCTGCAGATCAACAGCTATGATTTTCACATTTTGCCTATCACTCGGCTCAAGGGGTTCGTAGATGCGCTTGGCCAGAACTTGTGACCAGCTGCCAGGAGCGGCGCAAAGATCAACGGCTCGTGTCAGACCTAAAATTGGCAAGCTATTTAGTTTGAGGAACATGCAGTTGGTGGAAAGCAGTACCTTCCAAAAGGCAGAACGTCTCATCAGCCTGCAAAAGCTTGAAGGCACTCCGCGCGCGCCATCCCTGCTCCTTGGCCAGCCTATAGAATATGTCACGTTTGTCCTTGGAAGTCCTACCCATTGGAAACCCTGACTTTATCAGCTGTGAAATCAAAACAATCCATTCACAAAAGTGCTGAATTAATTACAGTATAACTTTTAATAGCCCATTCACACAAGGCACCACTAAAGTAGAAATTCGTTTTCTCAAAATCTCATCGTTCGTACAAATTTCTATTTTTACGAATCCCAGAATCGGATTTCATCTTCCTTTAATTATGATTTTTTTTTTTTTTCATCTTTTAGACTAAGTTATTGTCTATCAAAAAAAGGAAAAAAACAGCGAAACAACCTATTTTTACCAGGCTGCAGAAACACTCAAACATCGCAAAAGCGTCATTTTCTTCGTTAGAGCAGAGTAAGCAGAGCGACCAAAAATCGTTTTAAAACAAGAGGCAAATGGCTGAAAACGACTATTCGTGAGCGCACGGAAATAATTGAATTCCTCCAAATTAAAATAAAAGAAAAGCTTCCTTTTAATACTCCCCCTGTATTTCGTGAGTCCCGTGCGTTTTCAAATGCCGCGTAGTGAACTATATTCGATATATTAATCGATATATACGTTTTACTTCCATCCCTAGCCCGCAGGTTATAAGAAATTCCTGTTTGTTGAGCAAAACGAGAAAAAAATTGTGGTTCTTGCTATGATAACAGGAAAACTAACACCTCCCAATTAGCCCCATCAACAGACAGTAAGAAGGTAAAGGAAGAGCTGGAGAAGCCCTAATTATGGCCCAATTAAAAAAGCTCTACTTGAGCTCCGACATCGAAGGTCTGGAGAAGATGTCAATCATTCCCGATTGTCGCAACAAGAGCATGAAAATGTATGTTTTAATTTGTGTACTCTTGTGCTATTGCATTTGCTTTGACTTGCTTGTGCTTATTACAGCCTGCTCAACACCGCCCGCAAACTGTACATGAATGCCGAAGAAAAACGCCTGGATGGCGACGAGGAGCAGGCCTACATCGCCTACATGAAGTACTTCAACATGCTGCACGCTATTCACAACAAACCGGACTATGCTAACCACAAGACGACAGTGCGCCAGATGCTGGGCGATACCGCGTCGAATCGCCGCATCATGGACTCGCTAGAGCTGATAACCCAGTCTCTGTCGCTTCGCTATGAGCAGTTGCATAGCTCAGCGGCGGAACCAATTGCTGCTTCAATCGTCGCCAATGGGCAGGAGCCAGAAAGATCGACAGGAGAATTGCCCACGAAATTAGCCCGATTGGGGTTGATTACATGCGAGGAGCTGTACCGGCGCATGCAGGAAAAGTCTGTTCTGGTCATGGACTGTCGCCCCAGTGCCGACTACGAAGTTTCTCACCTCACCTACTACTGTGCATTCAATGTACCTGAAGAGCTCATAATACCGGGGTAAGTACAGGGGAACTGTTATTTACTACCGCTTTTCCTCACTTTCTTTTTCTTCCTCCAGAATGTCGGCTGGCCGATTGCAGGCTCGTCTTAGCAGCACCAGCAAGGCTGCATGGGCTTCTCGTGCCGTAAAGGATTCGGTGGTTTTAATAGACTGGAACACCAAGGACTCCCCGCCAGCTTCGAATACAGCTATTGCCACCCTCCTTGACATCCTAAAGAAGGTAAATATTAAAAAATATGAGGTTACAAATCTTTAAATCAACTTCGCTTTGCAGTGGGATCCGGATGTGACCTACCGGGCTCCCATTCAGATCGTTGAGCGCGGCTATGAATTCTTCATCATGATGTACCCCACCCATTGCACAAATCCCAGTGTACAGGCGCCGCAGCAGAACAATAATGACATTGAAACCATCGATGACATTGAATACCCGTCGATCCACGACATCACCATGAAAGAAGACATCAGCGCGAAGGACTTTAAGCCCAGACCAGATATTAACAGAGCCAGCAAGCCTGCGGCCATGCGCACCTACGACCAGCAGGGGCCAAACAAGACAAACGAAGTGCCTACACCGAAGGCCATAGCGGAGATTATGCGGGATCAGGCGGAATTTCTCCAGCGGGCAGAGCAAAATGACGCGCAGCTGGAGAGTGCCTCGAAAATATGGAAGCGACAGGCCATAAAGGGCGACGACTTAACTGCAGTTGAAAATCAGGAGCTCCATTTCCGAATCCTCCAGCTAGAAAGCAAAGACCTGGACAATGTAATTAATTCAATTTCTTTATATTATTATTTAAACCTTTATGTTTGTGATAATTATTATTTCAGGTTATTGAGAACAATCGGCTGCGAGACGAACTGAACCGCCTTAAGGAAGAGCAGCTAACAGCCAAGGAGATGGAGGCGACGCGAAATATCGAGACAAAGATCAAGGAGCGACAACGGTTGGACGAGCTGCACGAGCAAGAGCGGCTGAACCGGGAGCGCCAACTAGCGATTGCACGCGAAGCAAAGAAAGCTTATAAATCCCCACCGCCTTCCCAGCATGATTTATTGACCGGTGAAGAAATGACACCGATAGTTCCGGATCCGTCATATGAACCCAGTCCAGTGGAAAGGCCCACTTTCGATCGGTCTATGAAACCACAGTCCAGAAGCGAGGAAAGGCCAGTACAGAGGGTCCGTGATTTCTCACCCGTCGCGGGTCACAATGTGGTGAGTGTGTAGGAGGGGATTACGGTCTTGTTGGGGTTGTTGACTCACATTGTCCGCCTATAAATAGCCAAATCAATAGCCAAGGGGTCACGTTTGAGAAACATAGGATGGCCTCTCAGCCTCAGTCTCAGTCACTCGCTGTCCGCACTCAAAGCATGTTCAAACCACAGAAACAACGTACAATTGCTAAACTGTTGAGCAAGAGAAGCCGCAACCGACAGGATTCCGCAAATGATTTGTGTGGCGGGTGTGAAGTTTCAGCTGCCAGCAGCTCCATCCACCACTTACAGCATTTATAGTTCCATCCTTCCACTGCGACGAGTAAAGTTCTGAGAATACGTTATATCTACTCCTAATCACGATTGCAATCTGCTCTGTTCTTTTGCAGGGACGCGGTTTGACGGGCCTCAAGAATCTGGGAAACACCTGTTACATGAACAGTATTCTGCAGTGCTTGAGTAATACGGTCCAGCTAACTGAGTACTGCATATCGGACAAATACAAAGAGTACATTAGCAGAAGCAACAGCAGGACCAATGGACACGTGATCGAGGAGGTGGCCGCACTTATTAAGGAGCTGTGGAACGGCCAGTATAAGTGTGTGGCCAGTCGCGATTTAAGGGTAGGTTTATTCAGACATCAACATAATTATTCCATATATTTTAAATCTATTCATCTATTTCTTAATTGTTTGCTGCCTCAGTACGTTGTTGGCCAATATCAGCAGATCTTTCGAGGCTTTGATCAGCAAGATTCTCACGAATTCCTTACCATTTTGATGGATTGGCTTCACTCGGACCTACAGACGCTGCGCGTAGCTCGCCAGCGGGAGACGATGAGCGCCTCGGAAAAAGCCTGGCTGGAGTTCACCAATGCCAAGGAGAGCATGATATTGCATTTATTCTATGGCCAGATGAAGAGCACGGTAAAGTGCGTGGCCTGCCACAAGGAGTCGGCCACATACGAGTGCTTCTCGAATCTCAGTTTGGAGCTGCCGCCCAATTCCAATGTCTGCCAGCTCAGCCAGTGCATGGACATGTACTTCAGCGGAGAGCGCATCCATGGCTGGAATTGCCCAAATTGCAAAACCAAAAGAGGTGCCATAAAGAAATTGGATATATCGAAGCTGCCGCCGGTGCTGGTGGTTCATTTAAAGCGGTGGGTCATCCTCAATAAATCAATGTTTAAATACACATTAACTTCTTTCATTTTATTACAGTTTTTACGCTGACCCCAGCAATTCTTGTGCGTATATAAAGAAGCAGAACTATTTGCGTTTTCCTTTGGAGAACCTGGAGATGAGCCCATATATTGCGCGGGCGGAGTCGCGGGCAGGTACGCCCAAAACCTATCAGCTCTATGCCGTTTCAAATCACTATGGGTCCATGGAGGGTGGCCACTATACGGCCTTTTGCAAAAGCGCTAACTACGGCAAGTGGTTTAAGTTCGACGACCAGGTCGTCACAACGCTGGATGCCTCGAATGTCGTCTCCAGCGCCGCCTACATTCTATTTTACACTTGGTTGCCGCCTATGCAATTGACATTGTGAGCGCCGCTCTGTTCGCATTCTCTTTCTCCGACGATGTTCACGTTTTAAATTGTATTTTGATTTACGCGATTCGATTATTTGTCTAGCCTCTTGTCTAGTCGCTCCCACCCACTTATCATTTACCAATTACCGAATAACTGTTGCTCGTTTGTTTGTTGTTGAAGAAAGGATAATGTTAGGCAAGGGGGCGTATTCTTAAGGGGTGTGAAATGAGCGCTCACATATGTACACTTATGGTCGCGATTGTGTATTTATAGCTTATTGTATTTTGCAATAATATTTTTAAACCAAAAAAATAAACGAAATTAAATTTCTGGTATATAAAGGGTTTGCCCGTTTATATACTTTTCATAGCAGAGACTATAAACAGCAATTCTTTTTCACGTTTCTAGAATATAATGCCTATATCTAAAGAAATTATATAAACCGGTATTGGTTTTTAAACAGATCGAAATTACTTTTATAGCTATTGTTCGACCTATCGTTATTTATATTATAATACCATTTGTATAACAAGGAATTATAACTCAATGACAGATTTTTAGGATCTCTAAATATCAGGTAAAAGATATTTCTTTATAATATTCAAAAAGTTTATTAAATGCAAAAGTTGATTGAATCTCCTTTCGTTAATCATCGTGGGCACATGGCATGGCGACCGCCGTCAACGGGCAGACTAACACCTGTGCTAAAGCTGGCTGCATCGCTGGCAAGAAATGCGATAGCCGCCGCCACTTCATTGACATCTCCAGGCCGACCCAAGGCATGAGTAACCTTACAGTGCTCAAGAAACTTGGCGTAGGCCTCCTCGTCCATGCCGCCGCGCTTGTGGATGTCGGTGATGATCACGCCGGGATTCACGGCATTTACACGAACTCCCTTAGGGGCCAATTCCAGGGCCACACAGGCCGTGAACTGATCCACGGCAGCCTTGGATACGTTGTAAGCTAAAACACCTGGAAAAGACCTTAAGCCGCACACACTGGACACGTTCACAATATTGCCCTTGGTCTTGATCAGCTCTGGAGTGACCAGCATTGTGAGTTGATACAAGGAGCGCACATTGGTGTTCATTAGGCGATCAAACTGCTCCAGGCTGGTATTCTCAATAGAACCGGTCTCCAGGATGCCAGCATTATTGACCAGAACATCGATACGCCCGTACTTAGCTAGAGTGGCGGTTACTATCTCCTCCACCTCCGACTCCTTGGTCATGTCAGCTATCACCTTCAAGGGCTCTGATCCACCGGCGGCTACGATTTTCTCAGCCGTTTCCTTCAAATTGCTGGCATTGCGACCCACTATTACCAGGAGGCCACCGTGGCCAGCCAGGTGGACAGCACAACCAGCTCCAATGCCAGAGCTGGCGCCGGTGACAATAATTACTTTGTCCTTGAAGGTTGACATCTTGCAACTGGCAACTGAAGAGCTAATAGTAACTAAATCAACCCTGCCGCGAAACAGCTTTTCGATGGATCGATGGATTTCTTATGATCATAATGATGAAAACAGCTGTTCCCAAGCAAAAGTGTGGCCAGTTGGCGGCGGATGCGACCACTCGCGAACCGTTTTGGTATTTTGGTCATAAAGACATACTGACCGGCAGGTAGCGTCCACGTATTAGATTTATAATAAACTTGAAATCACGGGCCTGTAGCCGCCCCAGAAAATGCCAACTGCTTGAACAGCAATCAATCGAACCAGGATGATTCTGCCGGAACGCAGCCGCTTCGTGATCTATGCCTTGGGCATTTTCGTTTGCTACTTTCTGTACGGCATTGTGCAGGAGAAGCTGACGCGGGGCCGCTACGGAGAGGAAGTGCAAACGGACGGATCCGTGGGCGAACGCTTCACCTATGCCTTGGCCCTGGTGTGGGTACAGTGCCTCTGCAACTATGTATTTGCCAAAGGTGAGAACCTTTAGATTTTCTACATGCAATCCCACAAATAATGAGTCTTGCAGGCCTTCTGACCGTGCGTCCGCAAAAAGAGGACACAACCCATGTGGGATCCTATGTGGCCTGCTCCCTCACGTATCTGCTGGCTATGGTGTCAACTAATATGGCCATGCGCTGGGTGCCATATCCAACGGCTGTGGTTGGTAAGTCCGCCAAGCCAATTCCAGTTATGATCCTGGGCGTGCTCATTGGAAGAAAGTCGTACAGCTGGACGCGATACGCCTGTGTGCTCACCATTGTGCTGGGCGTTATTCTGTTCATGTACAAAGAAGGCAAGGTGTCCAATTTGCCGGCAGAGACAACAATGCTGGGTGAGGTGTTGCTCTTCCTCAGTCTCTCTATGGATGGCTTAACCGGCGCTGTACAGGAGCGCATCCGAGCAGCAAGTGCGCCGTCGGGTCAGCAGATGATGAAAGCAATGAACTTCTGGAGCACACTGATGCTGGGCGCGGCCATGGTTTTCACCGGAGAGGCGAAGGAGTTCCTGTATTTCACACTTCGGCATCCAGAGGCCTGGACCCATTTGTCCCTGATTTCTGTGTGCGGTGTCCTCGGGCAGTTTTTCATATTTCTAATGGTAGCCAACTTTGGGCCGCTGGCCTGCTCCGTTGTCACAACCACGCGCAAGTTCTTTACTGTTTTGTGCTCTGTTCTGCTCTTCGGCAACGTCTTAATTGCCCGCCAATGGCTTGGAGCGGTCCTCGTCTTCGCCGCATTATTCGTGGACATGTTGTACGGGAAGCAGAAGTCGCCAGCAGCGCCCGCCAAGAAGCCACCCGCCGAAGGTAGGGTGTCAGAGGAGATGAAAAAGCTGACTTCGTAGAATTTTTCGTGTGCTAATGTACACATGTATGTACATACATAACCACTTTTAGCGAAGACAACGCTTTCGACTTTCTGTTAATCGTACAAAGGGTTTGCTTTAGCTATAGCGAAAATATGACATTCGATTCGATTGATCTGCAAAACCCAAAAAAAAAAAATCGATTTAAGATAATATAATTATTTGAGTGTACCAACTAGAAACGAAACAAAAATTTGAACAGACCAAAAGATCAATTAAACAAATTCTTAGTTCTTCTAATACAATGAAGTTAAATTCTTTTCCAAACATTTGTGAATCACACATCGAAGTTATTCGTTCATAATTACCATCAATAATTTACAGAATCACAAATTATAGGAAGGTAGCACTTTTTAATTTTATTAAATCATTTGTAAATAATAACCATTGCAGTTTTATTGAATGACTTGAACAGGTTTGCTTCTGCAGTTGGATTATAAAATCAGCTAATACTTTATCGAGTCTTTGCCAATGATTGCTCTGACAACCGATTCTACCATGTTTACATATAGTTCGGATAATTTCAAACTTTTGCCGCCTTAGTGCAACAAATGGAATATTATAACTGATCAGTGCTTAATTAAAAAAATGGGATCTTAAAAATTTAATGAATAGAATACAGCAGCAAATTTTTTTATTGAAGGAACATTGTTTAATTTAATGTTATGTTTCGAAAATTTTACTATCCCAGACTACTTATCTAATTAGTGTTGAACATATAATTTGCGACAGGAATAGGAGCAAAGCTCAAAACAACAAATTTTTTAAAACAAAGCTTTACAGTTAAAACTCGCAGTTTTCCAGTTTTCAACAAATTTTCATATAATTTGGGGTATATCCATTTTGTATTATTCTTGAATTGCGGATTTGATTTTACGAAAATCGGATTACTATATGTCACCATGGAAACGATCTAGAAATTATTACAAAGAAAATGACAACTTCGATGAAACCATATTACTAATTAGTAGATTTATGCCAAATTACTTTAAATGCAACAGGTTAATTTTCTTTCCAGTTTGTACCTATTTATTTGTTTATTTGTTGCCCCAATCCGCGGGCTTTTCCACTTACTACTTCAACGGCAGCTGGGCACATTGGCTCGAATAGAATTCCGAGTTTCAGGCCAGCTTTGCCAGATTGAGGGATTTTGAGGTCTGTGAGTTAAAAGAGAGCCTTAAAATGTTTCTCTTTGCTTGGTCACACTAACATTGGCCTTTTCGAAGGCCTGGCAACCCTAGTTATTTGCCCGTTGCAGATGCGGTCGAAATTATTCGGAGTGTTTTTAAAATGCATTAATCAATTATTTGCCGCGCGTATTATACAATAAATTAAAATAAAATTTTATAACGAATCGTCAGAAAAAAATTAAATTATCGGTGTGTTTTCTCGTATGACTAAGTTATAGCGCCGCGTAATTGGAAAAGTTCGACGTAAAGGATATGCTCAGCACCCGCGGGAAAATGCAATAAAACTTGCGAGTGTACTTAATAAATTGCTTAAATTGTGCGCCTAATGTGTTGGATGAGAGCTTGGTGTGATTGAAAAGAATCGAACCCAAAGATACAACAGAATATTTCTCGTTTGCATAAATCAAATAAAATATATTTTCTTATTGGGTGAGTCGCGTTAATGTTGTTTTTGCTGCTGCCAGCTGTTTGCCTGTGTGTATTTGCCGTGGTGACGTCCGCTCTTCTGTGTGTGTCTGTGAGTGTGTGTTTGTGCCTGAGTATGTTTAGTGCTTTGGCTTAATTTTAGCAACTAAATTCGATCGAAAGTGAGTGGCACCGAAAGAGACGCAAATAAAACAAAAGCCAACGGTGGGCAAGTAAGTGAAAAATACCTACATATGTGTATATACTCGTTTGTGCAATAACGACAGAATGCAGGCGTTTATAATTTGCTCACATGTTGTTAAGTCTAGACAGCGAGAGAGAGAAAGAGCGAGCAGGAGAAACACCCCCGCTTGCTCACATTCTACTTTTGGGGTGGATTCATATATGTACATATACCGTTAGTAATTTGCCGGTTGTTGTCTTTCTTCTTCTTGTTCGGATTGAAAACCCCGTTTCAAAGAGAAGACTGCAAAGTGCTGCTACTATTATCTCAAAAGGCATTATGTAAAACAAGGTTCGCCTTAATTTAATGACATACTCCCACTTATCAGTGTGGCGTCGGACGGAATAATTGTGGAAAAGTGATTTATGCTTGCGATTCGTTGTCCCTGTCCCTCTTTGGCAGATAGTGATACGCAGAGCCCCTTATCGCCCGCACAAGTTCAACAATAAAATGATGACTCCCAGGCAAAACAAAGAACGCATGCATAAATAATACAGACCGAGCTACTGAACACAAATGCACAAGAATAATAAAAACACAGATGTGCAATTCACACTGATAATGTCACAGTCATACGACGAGAGAAAATGAGCGGTGCGCAAAACGTGAATAAGTAGGAAGTTCGATCAATTTTAATAGGTTTTAATCCGCAAGTTAAGATCATGTGTCTTGTATGGAAAGAAAATGACACTTGAAGTTAAAGGTATCTAGCAAAAGTTGGTAAATTTAGCTGTGCTGTGCACATTTCGATTTTTGTTTAACAAATCCCTCTTAAATAACCTATTAATTAGAGCTAGGTTTGACAGCACAATAGAAATTATCTGAGTGCGACCAAATGACCGTATGCAGGACACGTTCAATAAAGCTGGCAATAACTATAAATGTTTTGAAAAAATAATCCTCTTCAAAAAAATTTAGAGAGATAAAAAATAAGTCTAAATAAATTAATTGGATCTAAATTATTTTTTATATTATATTTATAATGACATACGGGTAATTATCCGATGTCAAATGCGACATTCGTTCGCATTCAAACTAAAACAAACATATGCCAAGACTTGAATTAAATTTTAGAAAATTTGAAAATTATAACTCTTGGTTAGCACTATAATTGGTGCCTTTGGGCCCTTGCTCGTTTTCAATATTCACTAAAATGTACTGCATTCGCACGCGAAAAAAAAATTAATTATACAATGAATTATCTTAACAATGTATTTTGTTTGACTTTAAAATATTAAGCAGTTTATTTTAAAATTAATTTTTAGTCGCGGTCGCACACGACAATTTTGTAACCGATAATTTAAATTAAAACTGTACGAATAATGGTAATCGCATATGTCCTTTTGCATTTTATATTGACTCTTTGCATTCTCTGTGTGATATTAGAAAGCAAAAAAGAGAGATTAGTATCAAAACAAAACATGCCTTTTTTATGACTTTTTTTTTATAAAAATAACATAAATTTCGTTTACGTGTTTTTGACATCAATAATTTCGAAATTTATTTTAGAAAATTAAAAATTCTTTTGATCTTGATCAATCTGACCAATTTTTATGTAACCATGTTCAAAATACTCGTTTTAGGCAGTTATGTTATATGATTTGCCTGCTTCTGCCATGTACTCAAAGTTTACCGTTTAAAGAGTGAATTAAACTCTAAAATAATCTTACGGGTATAAATAATCTTGAAAACTGAAAAGTCCTTTGATATCCGTTCTGAACTTGAATTTATCTTGACCCCTAACGAACCCCAATCAATCTTACTTTCGCCCCACACATTATCTGGGGCACATAGTCGCTTTAGCATTTTCGTAAATTAAATAAAACGAAATGATGGGGCTAATAAAAATATATTTTAAAAGAACCGAGCTCCTTGGCCACTATTTATAAACTCTTTCCTTCCTCTATTTCATAATTAATTTGTCAAGTTCTTATGTGCCCGACTGTCTGCCCGGCAAACATCACTCAGAGCCCACCGCAATCCGCCCACCCAAGCCCATGATGTCATTCTTTGTTGGGCCTTCGAGTCACATGTTTGGATATGCGCCCAAAAGAAAAGCCAAACAGCTAAAATAAAAGAAATTTCCTTTGTGTTGAGGGAAAGCAAAGAGTTTAGTCGTTTCGTTTTCTTTAGACGCAAATTGCGTAAAATTCTTCGATATGCAAAATTTGAAAAATGCATAGAAATGGACAATTCCGTACGTTCGGGTCTTGTAATAATTACTTAAAAAAATATTTATACATAAAATAAGTAATACCAAAGCCCATTTTTTATATAGTTTGAGCTTTTTCATTAGTTATTAGTTTTTTTTTGCTTAGAAATTATTAGGAAAACTTAAATCTAACTAAACTAAGAATGCTAAATCTAAACTTTTGTTCTGGATTTGTTATTTATGGGTTGGTCACATTCTGGGGTTCAAATATTTTTGGTTTTGCATGACTAGTTTATGAAGAGCGCTTAAAGTTTGTTTCAGTTATAAAGGGAATTATGATGTATTTTATTGCAATCTTGTAAAACTGTACATGTGAAAAATATAGATTCTCATTGATCCAATTGCAATATTTCAGGATCCCGCATTTGACTTCTTTTTTATCGTTTTTAGTAAGTTTAATGTACAACAAATACAAAACGTTAATGTACATTGCTGGTTCTTTCGGCACTCGTTTTGTTTTTCTCGATCGATTTAAATTAATTTTAATTGGTATTGCCTTGAGATTACTATTTTTTCGATAAGATACGGTTGATTAAACCTAAAAACACTCTATTGACCACAGAAAAGTGCCATAAATTCAAAATTTAAACGACACATATTTTATTTAAAGAATTAAAACGTTGATAATCTACATTAAAAATACTAGTTTAGAAATTGCTTTGCCTCAGAAATAAGCAGAGTTTCTTTATTACACCAGAGAGGGTTCCGATAAATTTGATTTAACCCTATTTTAACTCTGTATCTAATGTTTAAAAAAACAGACCAGGAAAACCTTTTTTGTTTAAGAATGGTGTTTTTTCGCTTATTTTAATTTATTAGATCCATTGCACCCATCGCGTACACTGAGGAATGTATGGAGGTCCGCGTAGTGAAGATGAGCACCGAGAATGTGGAGCGCAAAAGTTCTAGTATGTAGAATTGAAAATCGACTCAGCTTTAATAACATTACCTAAACCCCATTACGTAGAAGTTAAGAGATGGACATGGATTAAATAAATTATTTATCAATTCTTTAATGTTGGTAGCAGTTTTATATTTCGTCCCACACCGTTTCCGTCTCCTATATTTGTCCATAGCATGTCCATGTC